GGAGGGGAGAGGGAGGTGGCTGAGACGGAGTGAACTGAGGCGCTCAGCTGCTAACACTCACACACCGCCTGCCGCCGCCGCCGCGCTGCTCCGGGACTCCGGGCAGGAGGAAGAGAGGGAAAGCGAGGAAAAGCCAGACGCGGGAGAGGAGGCAGAAGATTGCTGGCAGGGAGAAGGAAGTCAGAGAGGAGGGAAGCGCGGAAAGAGGGAGAAGAAGCCCTCCTCCCCGTGGAGAGACGACTTCCCATGCAGCTGGGGACAGAGCGAGAAGCTGGAGCTCAGAAACTGTGAGAGAAGCTTTCCAAGCAAGTTACTTAATCCCCGAAGAGCGGCGGGAGGAGGGGACAACAGTAATCACCGATCATAGCCATTATTCCCAACCCCTCATCATTTAACACCCGGGCGGTTCAATGCACTACTCCAAGCTCTTCCTAGTTTCCTCCTCGGGGTAACTTTGGAGGACGCGCCGCCGGTGCCGCCCGGAGGTGAGGAGAAGAACCTCGAAAGAAGGAAAAAGAAGTTTTGTGGGGGTTGTGTGCGGAGGAGAAGATGGGGTGGAAGCGCCGCTGCTGCTGGGGAGGCGGAGGCGGCGGGGACCTTCTCTGTCGGCTCACCCTGGTGCTGGGGTTCCTGCTGCCCGCCTGCAGGACGCGCCTGTACACCAACCACTGGGCTGTGCGGATAGCTGGGGGGCTCCCGGAGGCCAACAGGATAGCTAGCAAGTACGGATACGTCAATATAGGACAGGTAACCCTCCTTACAACTACTTCCGAGCGGGCGTCGGCGGCGTGGCCGGCGGGCAGGGTCTGCTGCCGCCGCCCTGCGCCGCCGCCGGGGCAGCACCTGGGCGCAGCGGAGCCCGCAGATGTTTCGCTAGAAAACACCTGGACTGACGAAATCCGGAGATGACCCCATGAGAAGATTCTTGGATCCAGCCAGGTCCAGGAACTGCAAGTGAGGGAATACCTGGTTCTTGCTGGATCCCATCGCACTGAAAATACCTCCACCGCTGCCACAGCTAGGCACGGTTGCTGTTTAAAATGTCCTAAGATCATTTTTTCTGAGTTTGTGCCCAGTATCCTAGGCTTTCCTGGCAATTATCCTCAGAATATGAGTTGCATTTGTAGGATTAAGCAAGGTGAGTGCTTAAAAAATAAACAATTCCATTGCACGCTTGGGTGCGAACATCCAAGCACAGTCTTTCTAGACAGTAGTTTATACTGCATGAATTCAAAGTTTAGAAATGAGCATTTACAGGTATAGAAAGCTTCATCTTATACATGAGATTCACAAAACCAGAGCTGCATTTGCACAACAGGCCTTCTGCATCAAACCGATCAAAGTGAGATGTGTACAACACAATTTGCATTGTAGAATGAGTTCCCACATACTGCATCACTGCCTCAAAATTTGAAGTGTGCATCTCAGCCTTTCCCAATCATTGCAAGCCTGAATAAGACAATTGTGTAGTCTACTAGGATAAATAATTGACATAAGAAAAGCTGGAAAATGTCACTCAGTATCACCAACAATGTGTGTAAAGATGCAGTAAAACTGAGTACTCTTGGAGCACTTGGGCAGGTATGCCTCCCAGTTGGAGGCATAGAAATTTGCAAGGAAACTTCCATGTCAAAATTGAACCCCCACCTTGAAACTGCCATTTAGGAACTCAAGCACAAAGTTGTTTTGTGTTGATGCTTTTCTTTTTTGTCTTGCACACCTCCTTTGCTCAAGGTCTTTCTCTGTGTTCATATCTGGGCTTTCACAGCACCACAATAAGCAACATTTAGCTGATTGCAGGATGCATTTCTTCCCCTTTTGTCTTTTGTCAGTTAGCTATCTCAGAACCTCCTTTTTTATACCTTGAACACCCAAACCTCACATTGAGCTAAGAATGTAGTAAGCCACTATTGCTTCTTATGTGTCAGTGAAAATGCCATGTATACACCTATGAGATATTAATAATAGATACATTACTGATCAGGTACACAGATGGGAATGAGAGAAAATAGGGACTATAAATAATGAAAAACTAAGATACGTTACTGGGTATACAGATGAAAAGAGAGCATATGTGAAGGAGCCAATACCATTATTTAGTTATAGGAAGAGTGCAAGTAGGAGATGAATGTAAGAATGTTAAATGATGGGTACATGAGAAATAAAACTTCAGAAATAATGTGGACTGGTCTGATGAGTGATTCCTCATCTTCTGGCTATAACCAGCCTTTAAGAACAAGAAGCAGGCAGTGAGCACATGTGAAGAAATTCCAGAGAGCTTCTTGTATGTACTTTGTGTTGAAGTAACTAGGTGCTAGATGTCATTGTGCTGTGCCAATGTAGAGCTCAGCACTCTACTGTTACAGCTACATGCTCTAAGAAATGTGCATTTGCAAAAAGTCTTATGCAGAGTTCCCTTTCGTGGGTATCTTTTTACTATGGCCAGTGTTAAGTTTCTGATACTTTCTTGCAAAATCATCTCCAAATGATATTTCTGTGACAGCACATTCAGAAGTGTGTTGGTGGTCAGTCTAATGTCTACTCTCTTATTCACAGCTAGTGCTTATACAACTTTCATCAGTCTGACCTGGTTGCTAGGTAGAATTTATAATTTGAGAGAGTCTATAAAATAATACAGATGGCTGTGGTCTGACCATACATAGTTTAACATGTATATATTGTTAAAAGCCCATGTAAAATAATTCAATGACTCTTTTTTCTTAAAAATACAAAAACATATGTATCATTTTCTGTGAAGATTATTGATCATTCTATGTAGACTCTATCGCTTGATAAAGACGGGTAGAGGGAGTAAGGTATTAATTTTTAGAGAACGGAAGTCAGATGGTCTGGACTGATGAGTTAGATTTGCCTGTAATGGGCTTTCTTCATAGATTTAGAAAAGCAGGAAGATACTTGACACAGAACAGGAAGTGCAAAAGAATATGAGAATGGGGTAAGAATTTACTGTTTATTGTTGAGAGACAATTGCAAGTGATTTAAAAATCTGTATTTATTGTGAGATGCTGAAAGACATTCTCTTTAGTTGAATATACTATGAAAACACTGAAAAAGATATCCTGTAAGCAGAATTCTGTTAGATGCAGGACTTCATGTGCTTAATGTCTGCATATTGTAGTGGCTATGGCCAGACAATAAAACTTTGGTTTTGCAGATAACGTCTCTTCTAGGTAAGTGGAAATATTATAATTAAAGCTGCATCAGTAAGAGCTAAGCTGTTTACTTCTGCTTGAAGAAGGTAATTACAAATCTCTAAAAAAACCACATCCAAAATTAATCTGAAATAGATTAAAAAAACCTTAATGTAATGCATTAAGTATAATATTTTTTGTTAAATTAAATTTTTGAGCTCACCTTTAAGAAGAAAGTACAAAAAACTAAATCCAAATTCCACTACTCACCCAAAGAACTGACTCAGTACAAATGCCCCAGAAAAATAATGGAATTAAAATATTAAAGATAAGAGGTAGTGAAACTGTGTATAAAAAATGAAAGTCAAGTAGGTGCAGTTGCAAAGTTGCAAACCCAGGAGTAGTCTGGCAACAGTTAATTACATGATTAGAGCTGAAGGGAATAGTGGAAAACGGGAGTTCTGAAGGTTGTACTCTTACCAGTCACCCTGTTAATTTTGCATGAGTGGAGATGCAAGGTGCTATGGAATAGGGAGAGTTTAGAGTAGGTTAGGAGTAAAACAGTGAAGTGTAGGCAATATTTGGGCTGTGTTTGTGAAAAATGGCATTGAAAGGCACATTAAGTTGATCAGTGGAGACAAGATGGTAGACCCAGGAAGGCTGTGAATCATAAACATCGTACAACGTCCCTTCTCCCAGTTTTTGTTATTTGGTGCATTCCCGGTAACAGGCAGAATTTAGCTTTCCCATTTTTTGGTGCTCATGATCCGAAGAATATCCAGTTGAGTCTTGAAATAACCTCTTAAGTCCATTTTCATGGTGATGACAAGAAAGCTACCAAGCCTACCAGAGTGACTGGATGAATCAGATGACAGGAAGGGATGTTAAAAGAGGCCTTGAGATCACCTGCTGGTGAGCAATTAAGAACTTTATCTCAGAGCTTCTGGTAAACTCCTGTTGCTCTCAGACTTCTTCTGTGGTCTCCATCTCTTGTTACAGCAGTTTGAAGCTTTAGCTTCTCTGCTTATTGAAAAGAGTTTTCTATTAATTTTTAGGGTACACAATGCAACAGAGAAAGACTCTTCTTTTACTCTGTGTTTTTCCAGGCTGTATGTTCTGGTTCTTGTTTCCTACAAATTGTTCCAACATATTGCTCTTTTACCCTGTGTTTCCTTACCATTACCAATGTGAAGTTGACAGACACACAAGATTGTTCTCCAAGTTACTTGAATTCTTGCAGTGAATCTAGTAGGGATTGTCATTAATTTTCTTCTTCTATGGCTTGGAAAATCATAGAGCAGTAACTTAGACCTATCATTGTATCGACTATTAGCTTCTGTTAGGAAACTCTTTTCCCCACAGGACTGAATGAAGATTATGTATCACAGAAACGGAGGCAACAGATCCCCTTACGGACTGACACAAGTGGGCAGGATATCCTTTGGAAAGTCAGTGATGTTGATTACTGCAACCAGTTTGGAGCTTCTGATTTGGACAGTAGGGCCCACCTGAACTGACACTCAAATTAATAGACCTTCATTTAGGGCCTGTCCCATAACTTTAGACTTGAGTACTTGGTTACTGGTAATGTCATTTCTGTGACATAATCAGAGCTGCATTAGAGGTGATGAAGCAAACACAGTGAAGCATCAATGTAAGCTACAAAAGAATTGGCCCAAGGTGTCCTGTGTTTCATTGGGCTTTAAAATAGCACAAACATGTAATATCAAGACTTAAATGCATAGAGTTGACCTTTTTTTTTCTTTTCCCATATACTGCAGACATTTCTGTCCTACCCTTGAAGTGCAATTAGTAGTTCCTCTAGCAAGCAAATCATTGTCTCATGTCAAAGAATTGCTTCTATTCTTTTGGTATGAGTCTTTTAATAAAACAGTCTGGGCTAGCAAGCCCTCTGGGACTGTGATAAGGTAGTATAATGCAAAGCAGCCAGTGCCTTGTTCTAAGTTACACACTGGATGGAGCAATTTGGAGTATAATGCATCCCCCAGCAGCTCCTTGCTATCCCTTCTATCTTTCAGTGGCTGCACTAAGCAGATCTTTCTCTAAGAGCAAAGTATCTGTCTTTTGGGAAAGTTTCTTTCACTGTTGGCAGCTGCTCAGGGTTAAATATATAGTCTGTGTAGCGTTTTGTACAATTGGCATAAATATTATGACAGTGTTGATAGTGTGGGGGTTACTTAGTATACAGTGAAAAAAGCAAGCTTTCTTTTGATACATCCATGAAGATTAAGGTATATTGATAGGTCATCTTGATTCCCATGAATTTCCTTGTTTCTTCTAAACACAGCTTCTCACTGGATATAAATTTGTGGTTTGGTGCTGAATATAAAATATTCTCAACAGACTGGAGAAAGGAACACTGGCTTATAGAGGGCTGACTTGTGAAGCATCTGAGAAGTTGGGAATGCTACTGCAGGTTCTACTGCTGAAGGCTTTTGTGCTACTCACTTAAGCTTTTTCCCCTTACATCTTTGTTTATATACATAAAAGGAGAATATTCAGTAACTGACTGGGAACATGAGTTTTTATTTTAATTTGAAATGTGTGGGCTTCAAAATAAGGAATGTTTTCCAT